GGGTTTTCCCGGGCCCGGGTTCTCACATCCCCAAGCGGGAAGCCCCGGGGGGTATTTAGGGAGTCGCAGGAAGGGGGAGCTGCACCCTGTTAGGGGTTTTCGGCATTTTGGCCTAACTCCCTGGCGTACGGAGGACGGTTACGTAGGACTTAATTTTTTTTTGGGGGCTTCCACTCCCAGAGCCAGTTGTAACCCCGGTGTAACTCCCTGGAGGGTGCTTGCCCATTTTACCACAACGGGGGGCGTTCATCCCCCGTTGCGGGGAGTGAGGTTTTTCGCCCCCCCCCACCATGTTTTACTCGCCCCCCATTCGGGTTCCCCCCAAAAAAAAACCCGGGGTAAAAAAAAAAAAACGGTACCCGGGTTGCCGAGTCCAAGAAGTAAATGGGCTTTTTTTACAACGTGGGTCCCAAGGGACGAAACCCCATTCCCGAGGGCAACCCCCGAGCGGGGGGGGGGCGGCTTGTTTTACAAGGTCGTTCCCAAGGGACGAAACCCCACCCCCGAGGACAACCCCCGGGGGGGGGGGGGGTGTACTCATAGTCGTGCATGCCGTAGTCGTTAGGGTTATTATTAACGCAACGTCGAAATCGTTCTTTTTTAAACGGAACGGTTAAAAGAAAACCCGACTTTTTTTTGCTTGTTCTTTTCGTGATGTCATCGCAAAAAGTACGTTTCCTTCCCTGAATACACGCTTTGCTCGGCACACAACAGGTTGACATGGTATTGCTCACCATAGAGCAGCGATAAAAGCGCAATAAGCAGCACCCGGCACAGAGGACAACACACTTAGAAAGATCCCGTCCATCCGGCCTGCCGTTTTCAGTTTTCAGCAACAACAGGCGCACGGCAGAGTGTCGCAACCTGGGTGTTGCTTGCGATTTCTTCAGTTTGCCAGCTCATTTTTCACGGTTGCGACTCCCATCTTTGACCACCACCTACCCAAAGGTAGGCGAGCTCAACAATCATAGGGCGGCAGCCGCGCTGACGGCCAGCATCATATAGATGGCCAATCCGAAAGAATTAGCGTGTTGGAGGCCCTGTTGCTCTACTGCCTCGTGGCGCCGTGGATTGATGTTGATGTGTCCGACCAAAAACAGATCATCTCGCCGCAATTTTTCCAACGGCATTTTGGTGAGGTGGCACACGTCTCTCACACACCTTATTGAGCAGCACCCAAGCACCCAATACCCACGAAGCAGCACGGCGATCATATAGACAGCCGAACCGAAGGAATCAGCGCTTTGGAGGTCTTGGTGGTGCTGCTGTACTCGTTCTACTGTTTCCGTGTTTGCTATGTGTGATCGAAAAAAATTCCCCAGCACCAACATCAGCAGTTGAAGACGAGAGCACCACGCAATGTCTAGTTTTGGACCAAGAACGGACTGAACGCCGCTTCTGCCGCTTGTCCATCTCCACAACAGACCTGGACGTGAGTCTGGCAGGTCTTTCTAGCGTTCTCAGTGATGTTACAGCGCCCGCGGTGCGCTTGTCCGATGTTTCTGTCAAAAACACGAAAACGTTAAAAGAGCAAGCCCCAAAAAAACCTGACTCCTTCTTTTCACGCTTTCGGGGAAAAACGCCTCCATACATGTTCAAGAAAACACGGTTTCGTTTTTTTTTCGTGTTTTATTGGTCGATAACAATAGCCCTTAGACCATTGACCTCGCATCCCTACAAAGCCGGGACGGAGCACGCCGGGTTCTCACCGGACCAGGCTCTCACATCACCAAGCGCGAAGCGCCGTGAGGTATTTGGCGAGTCGCATGAAGGGTGAGCTGCATCCTGCTAAGGGTGTTCGGCATCTTGTGCTTACTTCCTTGCGTACGGATGACAGCTACGTATGACTTAATTTATTTTCTGGTGCTTTCACTTCCAGAGACAGTTGTAAGCACTGTGTAACTGCCTCGAGGGAGCTTGACCATTTTAATACAACGTGGTGCGATCATCCCCCGTTGCGCGGAGTGCGGGTTCTCGACCCCGCACAACATGATCTACTCGACCACCATTATGGTTACCGCCAAAAAAAAAAAAGAGGTAAAAAAAAAAAAACGGTAACCGGGGGGGGGAGTACTCATAGTCCTGCATGCCGTACTCTTTTGACCTTTGACCTCGACTATCAACCTACCAAAGCCGGGACGGAGCACGCCGGGTTCTCACCGGACCAGGCTCTCACATCACCAAGCGCGAAGCGCCGTGAGGTATTCGGCGAGTCGCATGAAGGGTGAGCTGCATCCTGCTAAGGGT